AAAACTGAATTTCGTTTGTTTTACGTGGAATTTCTTGGAGTTTCCCAATGCATTGTACTTGAATAAAATTTTAAACTCAGGTATTGAGCCAATAATAAAAGTAGAAAGGAAAAGGACATATGGAAACGAGTTAAGAGTAACTCTCCACCACTGTAACTAGATATTATATACAGTCAGAAAGTGCAACAACTAGGCACAAAACTGACAGAGTACTGAGACATTCGACGTCCTGACACCTAGCTTCAACACATCTCCGTAGCGCTACGGAGATGTGTTGAAGCTAGGTGTCAGGACGTCGAATGTCTCAGTACTCTGTCAGTTTTGTGCCTAGTTGTTGCACTTTCTGACTGTATTATAGTATCTAGTTACAGTGGTGGAGAGTTACTCTTAAGTCGTTGGAATAAAATTCTATTTTACCTTTCATGGTATCTCAATTTTTTCACGTCTACATGACTTTATTTTGCCTATAAAAGAGGCCGTTACACCCGAAAAAAAGAAAGAAAGAAAAAATAGTGTTGTACATACACACATGATGTATGCATAGTGTTGTACATACACACATGATGTATGCATAGTGTTGTACATACACACATGATGTATGCATAGTGTTGTACATACACACATGATGTATGCATAGTGTTGTACATACACACATGATGTATGCATAGTGTTGTACATACAGCAGTACCGTAAACACATGCATGTACAAACACGTAGAGTAAAACCTGTCAAGGCGACCACCTGTCCAAGAAGACCATTACATTACAACCAGGATCAAGGGATGCTATTTCCAGTCAAATGAAACTGGATAAGGAGACCACCTGGTTACAGAGACCACGTTTTCAAGGTCCCTTGAGCGGCCGTCTTAGAAAGGTTTCACTATACATTGGTGTAGGCATCACAGTGATGTGCACATACTGAATGGCGTGTTTTCTACGTCCTGTGCAGAAATCATCATCACTCTATCTCAGTAAGAGTGGTGGGGGAACACTAAGGGAACTCTAATTAACTTACTCTTTCAGCCGATGCCACTGAATCTGATCCATGACAGGCATTGCGTGTTTGATCTTCACAACAGGAAAAAAATAATACAAACCTTGAGAATAATACACGGATACAAATGATCTGCCTGGAGGCAATACATTTAAAAAGAAAATTTTAAGTTACGAACAAAATAATTTGCGCGCTCATTATCTCGACACAAAAGGCAAGGTGGGTATAAGTTTCCAAGCCGACCGACAGTACAGGCACAGCAGTGGCCAAGCAAAAAATCAGCTACAGCTTCTCCTTCTCTACAAAGCGAAAAATACAAACTCGGCGACAAGTAGTTTATTTTTCTGTGACGATCATCAGTTCCAAGTCTGGAACCGATAATCTTAACAAGAAACGTTCTTGGAAACCTATAGTCCTTCTTTGCATTCTGTGTCGGAATAATGAGTGCTCAATTTTTTTGTTTCGAAATGCATGGATAGAAAATGTTGAACAGAATACGACACTGGCAGGCATATAGAAATAAAGAAGCAGAGAAATAGGAACAAAGAGAAAATTGAGTATTGGCTGAAAACAACTCACTGCAATAGAATACAGTATGCTGACTGATTTGAAAGTCAACTGCCAATGTTGTCACTTGCCCTTCGCTATGATCTCCCAATGTTGTCACTTGCCCTTCGCTATGATCTCCCAATGTTGTCACTTGCCCTTCGCTATGATCTCCCAATGTTGTCACTTGCCCTTCGCTATGATCTCCCAATGTTGTCACTTGACTTCCATATGATCTCCCAATGTTGGCACTTGCGGCCTTCGCTATGATCACTGCATATTATTATGTAATCTACTTCAGTTGATTAATTACTGCTTCAATGACTAGCAAAGGTTAACCAACCGTCAAAGAAAATGGTTAATCACAGTCTTTATAACTAGCTTACCTGTGCCAAACCTTGCTCTGAGACTATCCGGAGCTTGAGACCTGGCATCAGCCGAGTTTGTTGGTCCTGGTCATGAATGCCAACCACAGATAAACACATAAAACACACCCACACACACACACACAAACACACACACACAAACGCACACACGCACGCACACACACACACACACACACACACACACACACACACACACACACAAACAAGGCATGTGCACGGTGAAAATCAAGCAAGATTTGCCCAGAGTATGGCTTTAGTAAGCACCTCCACCGATGTTGCTGGCAATACTCAAAGATTGGATATGACTTTCCCTGTTTTTTGTTTTTTTTTAAATAGTAGAACTCACCAATAAGTGCTCTCCATCTGCTGACGGCATTGTCGGCTAGTAAGCTGAGCGCCATGATTGGTCCTTCCGTCATGAACGATATCAGAGTTCTGCGCATGCGGGGTGACAACAGTAACACCATCATTACAACAAACACCGTAACCAGCATCAAAAGAACCAGCAGCATCAAAAGAACCAGCAGCAGCAGAAGAACCAGCAGCAGCAGCAGCAGAAGAAGCATCAACAGCAACAGCAGTAGCTGCTGCAGCAGCAGCAACAGAAGAACCAGCAGCAGCAGAAGAACCAGCAACAGCAACAGCAGTAGCTGCAGCAACAGCAACAGAAGCATCAACATCAGCAGCAGGAGCAGCAGTAACGGCAGGGCAGGAAAACCACGACAGGATTTTAATGCCTAGGGCAACAACAGAACATTGCAAGAACAGGAAGAGTAGAAAGTTTCAATTCTACTTCACACATCAGCCTTGGGGTTTGTGATATATTTCCTTTCTTCTCTTCCTGGACAAGTGTCACAAAAACACTCTTATGGCAATGTAGCCAATTGAGAACACAAATTATGCAGTTTTGAAAATGCAGTAGGGAAGAGGTTGTCATAGCCTTTTCTGGATTGCCGAAGATTTGAGAACCCCTCTTAACCCCTTTAATATCCTAACTCTTAGTATAAATAGTCCAAATAGGAATGAGTAAGACATGTAACAAATGGACTCTGGACTTTGTAATGCCTTCCTGTATTCACATACAAACTGTTACATACCAATACTAGTACACACTATCTACTACAGAGCCGGGTCAGTCGGGTCAGCGGCCCGGTTGCGGGTACTTGGACCCGGTTGGAGGGTACTTTGACCCGGTTGGAGGGTACTTGGACCCGGTTGGTGGTATTTGGACCCAGTTGGAGGTATTTGGACCCGTTTAAAAAAGAGCACTAACCAGGTCACTAGCTGGAAATAGTATACATGTACATACTGGTATGCTACATACACGTATACATCGGAGATCCTAAAATATTTACTGCTCCCTGATGCACATGCAGTATGCTAACCGCACTTGAACGTACCCAGCTCTGACCCGGTTGGACAAGTTGTGGCAGGTCCACGTGTACCCAAGTGGTTTGAAATCCTAGAGTAGGCACTGAGACACCTAGTGTCAATAAGATCATCACACGCTGAAGTTTGTTCAGCAATAAGCAACACATGGGCGTTTCACTGATAACCTCCTATAACACAGGATTTCCCTGATCACATTCTTCCCAGTATCATAACACCAACACCTGCCAATCCCCCCCCCCCCCAAGTGTTTGCACAAAGGCCACGTCCCTTGCTGGTCTACAATGCCCGTCTGAATGGTCGCTACCAGGGGAGTACTAACCTGAAAAATGGTTTAGCACTATGCTCGCGATAAAACTCTTCAGCCGCAGACCTGGACATAACAACGAAAAACAAAAAATCATTCATGGACACCAATATTTGCATACAAACACACACACACACACATACACACACACACACACACACACACACACACACACACACACACACACACATACACAAACACACACACACACGCACACACACGCACACACACACACTCACACACACCCACACACTCACACATACACACACACACACACACACACACACGCACACACACACAAACCATACACACTGTTTTTATTACATGCAATAATTGATTAATCCCACAACACCTGTGTACACCTACACCCTTCTGTAACTTCAACATGGATTGCACATACACATTAGATGGATAGGTAGGGGGGGGGGGGGAGAAAGAGAGTTGGATTGCACATACACATTAGATGGATAGGGAGGGGGGGGGGGAGAAAGAGAGTTGGATTGCACATACACATTAGATGGATAGGGAGGGGGGAGAAAGAGAGTTGGATTGCAGATACACATTAGATGGATAGGGAGAGGGGAGGGGGGGGGGGGGGAGAAAGAGAGTTGGGATAGGGGGGACCAGGAATAGTAGGGTGCCCATAAATGTTCCGGGCATACGACAGAGCTAGCAAACCAATGATAGTCCTGAATTCACGGTCATCCCACAACCAACGTGGAAATCCGGTCTAACATCTAGCGGCCCCAGGGCGATGGCCATGCAGCCGTGGATAAGCGGTTCACACACACAATTCTGCGCTGCAGCGCGGTGTTCGCATCGGATCAAAATGAGCACTGCATGGTCGCAGCGTTCTGTACACGCCGAGGGCGCCGGCCCCAGTCAATCGACTGCATTACCATGTCCGCTACAGTAGGAGAAAACATTGGTCACTGCAAAGCTAAACGCATGTTGCTATCCACCGCCGGCTGCCCTTTACAGCTACTGTTGAGCTAGGACAGATTGATAAACTCTCGCAAGTTGCATCGCTAGACTGAATCACCTTAGGGGGCAGCAGGTCAAGGCCGGGAGTGATATAAAAAGTGGCATAGACCATGGTTCATGCCGATTTTTCGGGTGCTATTATGTGTGACCCCCACCCCACCGCTGCTATGACTCACTGGTGCACACAGTAATTTTATTGGAAAGGTTGGGTTTTGCCTTTTCTCCTGATACTCAGTTACAGTTACTATGTACAATAACCTAGAGACTGGGAATGTCCAAATCCGTTGATCTCCGACCTGCAGAGAGTGCTCAATAGAGAGGTTAAGATTCACGTTATTTCTGACCTGACGCGCAATTTCACGTCAAATTGCGGGTAACACTCCAAATTTCGACGTGAGGTGCCGGTCACGTTGTTTTTCGACGCGCGAGCCAAATAACGCGAGCTGAACTTTCGCGTCACATCAGAAATAACGCTCACCTTAACCTCTCCAATGTCTGAGACAGAGCTTAGTACCCAGCAGACTCAGCGGAGGACGTTCAGATTGGTTGTGCCTCTGAGTTTCATGCCACCGCTGGGCAATCATCAGACAACGGGTAACAACATGGAGGTCCTCTGCTGAGTGTGCTATGCACTGGGAAGGTTCTGTACTTACTTGCTCAACACAACTGTCTTCATATCACAGATCTGAAAGCCTTCAGTGCAGAGAAACTCAAGCAGGAGAGCTGCAGGCAGAAAAACACCGCCAAATTCACATTTCACATAAGAACAAGTGAGACTGGTTTTCCGCATTCGTAGAAATGCCACCGCCCTACAAGGATCAAATCGCACACAACTAAGTCCAGTATCCAGTTGTAGTGGGTAACTCTTATTTGCACTAGGGCAGCATGTCTTCAGCAGAAAACAATTCCGTAGGAAACGCGAAGACAAGGAAGGCTTTTTTCTGGAAATATATTAATTTTCCTGCACAGATTTGCTCTGCTGAGATAGAAATTAAAACATTAAATAAATTCAGCACTCCTAGTCTAGACAGGTCATGTTTTCATATATTAAAGTCTATGCACAGTTGAGTCACCGTTATACACTGGCATGCCGTGCTTGGTAACATTCTTTCTAGCCTGGTTGTCCTTCGGCGTTCCGTTCTTCAGCGCTTCGTTCTTCAGCGCTCCGTGGTGAGCACACATGCTCTTTCCCTGGAGAAACCCCGTGCACCGTTTGTATGGTTCCTGGGGAAACCCCCTTGCACTGGTTGTACGGTCCCTGGGGAAACCCCGGTGCACTGTTTGTACGATGCACGTGCTGTATGATCGACGGACCGAACACACTCAAACATTCCACCTACAGAATACAACCATATATGGGAGGTGATGGTGGTAACTGAGTGGGTGTTGGGGTAGGTTAGACAACACGTTGCTTACGCATTTTTTCCATGATGTCCGGCTTGAATATCGCCAGAGTTCTGCAAGAGAATTCAAGCAGGGAATACAACAAAACACAATCAGTTTATTCAGTATCATTCCAGATTTCATTCAATTCTCCTCTGATGTGATGGGACCGACCGGGTGAGAAAACAGATATTTTGGAGAAGACATGCTCACAACTAGAGTACTGTCATACTGGTTGAAGTATGGCTGACTGCTCACTTCCGCGACGGAGGATTTCAAATATATAAATCAGAAAGAACCAGGAGGAGAAGGAGGAGAATGAGAGGGAGAAGGACGTAGGTATTATTTGCCAAACATCCCAGAGGAGAAAATTCCGTGAAGAAATTGATGTCCATGAGACATACACAGTGTAGCATATGCTGGCTATGGCTGATATACTTCAGTACAAAGGCACATGTTTGCTTGTGCACACTGGTGATAGAAGAGAGGTCCACGGCAAGCTGGACAAGCTAGTGTGGATATAATGATTTAAAACCAAAGAGACGGGGATGGTAGGTGTGATAATTTGGTGATGCTTTGTATTATCAAGGGTAAGCAGCAGCATTTGGCCCTGTCCATATTGGTCAGCACACCACCACACCAGAAATACGCTCTCTAGCCGACCTCGACACGTTGCCACAGCACACCAACACACCAGAACTGCGCTCACCAGCCGACCTCGACACACGTTGCCACAGCACACCAACACACCAGAACTGCGCTCACCAGCCGACCTCGACACACGTTGCCACAGCACACCATCACACCAGAACTACGCTCTCTAGCCGACCTCGACACATTGCCACAGCACACCACCACACCAGAACTACGCTCTCTAGCCGACCTCGACACGACATTGCCACAGCACACCACCAACAAAGGGACACAACCTTTGGTACTCTGTTCCTTCATACACACAATGCTGTTTTGAGTATAAAACTATCTTCAGTGACTGTAGATATTGTAGAATGGCTAAGATAGTGAAAATCACCTTTTTTGTACCGAAGCGGTAAGCATAATGCGCACGACCGAGGCACAAAGAATTGGGGTGCGTTTGGTTGGTACGATCTTGAACAGGATGGAACAGCTGGCGCACATAGAGCAGCTTCATGTCAACCAAATGGTACTCCAGAAACAGAGCACATTTTTGTGAAAAATATGCCAAACTTGGTGCATTCTTCAAAATGTGTATGGATCACCATGGTCACTTTGTACGGTATGACGAGTCCAACCCAAGCGCGCATGCACGTGATCATTCGGGATCAAAAGCGATGTTCCCGCCAGGTTTCACTGCGAAAAAGTGAAACTGCTCGGTCTGCTCCGGCCTCGAGGCCGGAGCAAGCAGAACATGTTCTGGCCGACCCAGAACAGGTGCAGTCCCAACCAAATGCGCTGTTCTGGTGAATCCTGTTCTAGGTCGTACCAACCGAACGCGCCCCAAGGCTAAGCAAAATGACCAAGTGCAAATCAGTGTTAAAAACTAAACTGGGGACAATGTACAGACGTGATGATATGAGTTGATAGTGCTAATAGTCAGGTGTGAATTTCATACACACCACTACACATAGCAAGTAGCAACTTGAGAGGCCCCCGAGGCATGCACTGTGTCCACTCCCGCACTACACCGCACCTCAACATTGTCTCATCACATCCTATGACAGGCAAAAAATAAAGTAGCAGTGTTGAAAACACACACGCTCACAGAATATCGCTCGACGGGCCATGGGCTCGTCTATCGAAAATTTACACCCGGCTGTTAGCACCATCAACTCATATTATCACGTCTGTACATTATCCGCTTTGTTTTCAGTGTTCGCATTTGGTCATTTTGCTTGGCCCTATTCTTCCTGAGGCGTGCAATTATGCTTACCCCTTTGGTACTGACAAGGGTATTTTTTCACTATCTTAGCCATTCTGCAATATCTACGGTCACTGACGAGAGTTTTATACTGAAAATAGGCGCAGGGTGTAGCCAGTGTGCTGACAGTGCTCAACACGGCGGAGGCAGAGAGTAATACAGACTTGTTGTTCTGTTCTGTACTGAAAATAGCAGTACCAAGGAACCGGGTACCAATGCCATGGATGTGTCACTTGCTGATGGTAAGCTGTGGCAATGTGTCGAGGTCGGCTGCAGAGCGCAGTTGTGGTGTGGTGGTTGACGACAGATATGCTTCGTCTTACTTTAAAAAAAAATATTTAAAAAATAAAATAATTTCGACGGGTTCGCGTACCAGGCAGGTCAAGAACAAGGAGTCCTACAACTCCCTGGTCAAGAACCACCTTTCCGCTTCCGTGGGACGCCACCACCCCATGATCAGGCTCCTTTGGCCTATGGTCGGTGGATCTGATCTTTCCTTCCCCACCGTTTAGGAGCTGCGTCTTAATTTTAAAATACCAATAATTGGGATAAATTCTACGGTCATTACCACAAATCAACGCACTCAACATCGATTTTGGAAAACCTTCATGACTTCGTTGATGAGTGGTGACCACGGCAGAATTTATCCCATTTGTATTGCTGCTCTGAAGTTATTGCCTCAACATCGTTTATTCGTCTTACTTTTCTTTCGCCATGGAGAGTTTAATCTTGGTGAAAGTGTCAGAGTACTCTGCAAACTTCAGCTAGGTACCGCGGTTGACAGCCATCGGCAAGGATCCCATGGAAGAATACACACACAAACACACAGCAAAGGAGACGCATACACAAACACACACACACACACACACACACACACACACACACACACACACCAAAGGAGACGCATACCCGCACACGCTTGCACACACACGCACACATCAAAGGAGACAAATACACGCACACGCATACATGCATACACCAACACCCACACACATGCACACACACACATGCACACACACGCACACACACACACACACACACACACACACACACACACACTCACACACACACATATTCACCCAACCACACAAACAATGAAGAGGACACACAGACAGATAGACAGACAATAAGTTATGTCCACAAAACCACCACAAATTGAAATTCCCTGTGGTAGAAAGGAGTTGACAACAGCACTGTGCTCCGTACTGTATAAAATACAAAATTTCATTTAGAAAATCTTTACTTACATCACTCCATTAGCAGGTTCGTTACGTATTGAATTTCGTTTTTGGTCGAGGTTTGTTGCCCCGGAACGTACAGAATTTCTTTAGTAGAAACTTTAGTTATTTTCAGCCCCTGACGAATATAGCGAAAGTTAATTCCAAACAAAAATTTGTACATTATAGTTTATTTTATATATTATTATTATTATTATTATTGCCTGTGTGGATTCACAGGAAGTGTGAGTTACGAAGTCTGAAGAGAATGTTGGACGGCCTCTGCTGGGATGACGACTACACCATAGCTCAGTGGTTAGAGCATCGCTGGCTACAAGCGAGGGTCCCTGGTTCGAGTCCTGGTGGTGACAGTCAATTTTTTCTTCAGACCTTTCCCGTTTGTCTCTTTCCCTCAAACCAGTTAATATTTTATGACTTGGGGCTCCCCGCGTGCTAGTTTGTACGTGAAGTGTGTGGGTTACAGTGAGGGCTGCGTCCCACCCGCCTGTGTGGATTCACAGGAAGTGTGAGTTACGAAGTCTGAAGAGAATGTTGGACGGCCTCTGCTGGGATGACGACTACACCATAGCTCAGTGGTTAGAGCATCGCTGGCTACAAGCGAGGGTCCCTGGTTCGAGTCCTGGTGGTGACAGTCAATTTTTTCTTCAGACCTTTCCCGTTTGTCTCTTTCCCTCAAACCAGTTATTATTATTATTATTATTATTATTATTATTATTACAGTATACATGACCACTGACTGTACTCTGTATTCATGACCACTGACTGTACTCTGTATACATGACCACTGACTGTACTCTGTATACATGACCACTGACTGTACTCTGTATACATGACCACTGACTGTACTCTGTATACATGACCACTGACTGTACTCTGTATACATGACCACTGACTGCACTCTGTATACATGACCACTGACTGTACTCTGTATACATGACCACTGACTGTACTCTGTATACATGACCACTGACTGTACTCTGTATACATGACCACTAACTGTACTCTGTATACATGACCACTGACTGTACTCTGTATACATGACCACTGACTGTACTCTGTATACATGACCACTGACTGTACTCTGTATACATGACCACTGACTGCACTCTGTATACATGACCACTGACTGTACTCTGTATACATGACCACTGACTGTGCAGTACGTACCTGTCGACCATGTAGATTAACTGATGAACCAATGTAGCACTGATCCAGCCTGATAGACTCCTCCTTGGTACGTTTCAGGAATATACGCTTGTTTTTCACATCAATCTACAATTTTTGAACAAGGCAATAGACAGAAACACACAACAGCAGACAGACAGGCAGAAAGCCAGACAGACAGCCATACAGACAGACAGAGAGATAGGTAGAAAGACAGGCAGGCAGCCAGGCAGGCAGGCAGATAGACAAAATAAGGCTCAAATGCACACACACACACACATACCATAATGTATACGCCCGTCTCAAGAGAAGCAAGCAAATCTGCAAATGCACTTGATGTGCACCCACAGATATTCTCTTATAGCAACGAGAGCGAACAAGATCTGAATGAGACAGATCAAGACTTGCGCCAGATAACTGTCTAATCCACACAACTGGCGAAGCCATGTGAATCGACCACCAGTGCACACCTGGTCTACACCACACGGAGTACATCGGCATAAAACGGCCAAGACAGTTAGTTGCCTATGCACACCCTACACTTGCTGGGGTAACCATGGTAACCAGTATAGACAGAACGCTGCTTTGATAGAAGCAGACACTAAATGCACTGGTACCTTGAAGTGAAATTGGAGTACACACAGAGACACACACACAGACACACACACACACAGACACACACACAGACACACACCGACACAGAGAGACACACATACACACAGAGAGACACAAACACACACAACGGCAGAAACCAGGATATGATGCGATCCGGAGTTTCATGCTTTGTAGGCAACCGTCCTACAGCAAACCGAATCAAACTGATATTGTCCCAGACGGAAATATAATAATGAATGCTGTATATGGGATACATAACACAGGGGATGAGAGTGGTGATGGGTATTACTAAGGCTGTGTTCTGTGTGTAAGGGTGGGGGATGAGAGTGGTGATGGGTATTACTAAGGCTGTGTTCTGTGTGTAAGGGTGGGGGGATGAGAGTGGTGATGGGTATTACTAAGGCTGTGTTCTGTGTGTAAGGGTGGGGGGATGAGAGTGGTGATGGGTATTACTAAGACTGTGTTCTGTGTGTAAGGGTGGGGGGATGAGAGTGGTGATGGGTATTACTAAGGCTGTGTTCTGTGTGTAAGGGTGGGGGGATGAGAGTGGTGATGGGTATTACTAAGGCTGTGTTCTGTGTGTAAGGGTGGGGGGATGAGAGTGGTGATGGGTATTACTAAGGCTGTGTTCTGTGTGTAAGGGTGGGGGGATGAGAGTGGTGATGGGTATTACTAAGACTGTGTTCTGTGTGTAAGGGTGGGGGGATGAGAGTGGTGATGGGTATTACTAAGGCTGTGTTCTGTGTGTAAGGGTGGGGGGATGAGAGTGGTGATGGGTATTACTAAGGCTGTGTTCTGTGTGTAAGGGTGGGGGATGAGAGTGGTGATGGGTATTACTAAGGCTGTGTTCTGTGTGTAAGGGTGGGGAGATGAGAGTGGTGATGGGTATTACTAAGGCTGTGTTCTGTGTGTAAGGGTGGGGGGATGAGAGTGGTGATGGGTATTACAAAGGCTGTGTTCTGTGTGTCAGGGTGGGGGGATGAGAGTGGTGATGGGTATTACTAAGGCTGTGTTCTGTGTGTAAGGGTGGGGGGATGAGAGTGGTGATGGGTATTACTAAGGCTGTGTTCTGTGTGTAAGGGTGGGGGGATGAGAGTGGTGATGGGTATTACTAAGGCTGTGTTCTGTGTGTAAGGGTGGGGGGATGAGAGTGGTGATGGGTATCACTAAGGCTGTGTTCTGTGTGTAAGGGTGGGGGGATGAGAGTGGTGATGGGTATTACTAAGGCTGTGTTCTGTGTGTAAGGGTGGGGAGATGAGAGTGGTGATGGGTATTACTAAGGCTGTGTTCTGTGTGTAAGGGGCAAAGGACCTGTACGTTGCTAGTTCTGGTCCATTCTCTCTTGACATAATTATTACTAGTGGCTCGACACCCAGGTTTTTGTTGTGTGCATGTGTTTGTGTTGATGTGTTTTGTGTGTGTGTGTGTGTGTGTGTGTGTGTGTGTGTGTGTGTTTGTGTGTGCAAGCGCACGCGGGCGGGCGCGTGCTGGGGAGTGTATGTCATGCGCGGGTTGGTGTTAGATCCATGCTCACTTGTATCGATATAGTACATTCTGAGCATGTCTGGGTTCGAGGAAACATGATGCCCTTCAATGGTATGCACAAGAACATCACCGTGTTATTACAACATGGGACAAGACAGCATGCATTTGTATAACCAAGAGTCACAGAGTACCGAGGTTATGTACACTGGGTTGTACCACCAATATTACAACATGGGACAAGACAGCATGCATTTGTATAACCAAGAGTCACAGAGTACCGAGGTTATGTACACTGGGTTGTACCACCAATATTACAACATGGGACAAGACAGCATGCATTTGTATAACCAAGAGTCACAGAGTACCGAGGTTATGTACACTGGGTTGTACCACCAATATTACAACATGGGACAAGACAGCATGCATTTGTATAACCAAGAGTCACAGAGTACCGAGGTTATGTACACTGGGTTGTACCACCAATATTACAACATGGGACAAGACAGCATGTATTTGTATAACCAAGAGTCACAGAGTACCGAGGTTATGTACACTGGGTTGTGCCACCAATATTACAACATGGGACAAGACAGCATGCATTTGTATAACCAAGAGTCACAGAGTACCGAGGTTATGTACACTGGGTTGTGCCACCAATATTACAACATGGGACAAGACAGCATGCATTTGTATAACCAAGAGTCACAGAGTACCGAGGTTACCGTATTTCCGCAAATAAACGGCCGTCCTCGTATACAACGCCTTCCTCGTATACAAGGCCGGGGCAGGGGGCGATTGAAAAAATAAAAGACCGTCTCCGATTAGAAGACCGGGCCTACTAAATGAGTCTTTGGTCTTGTGTTAAAAATAGAAGACCGTGCTCAAACTGTTTAGAAGAAAATTGAAGAACGTGCTCAAACTGTGTAGAAGAAAATTGAAGAACGGGGGTAAAACTGTGTCGCGAGAAATAGAAGACCGGGGGTCAAACTGGGTTGAAAGAATAAAAGACCGTCCTCGAATGCAAGACCGTCCTCGATTATAAGGCCGGGTTAGGACGAGGTTGAAAAAATAGTAGACCGGCCTACTATTTGTGGAAATACGGTATGTACACTGGGTTGTGACACCAATATTACAACATCGGACAAGACAGCATGCATTTTGTATAACCAAGAGTCACAGAGTACCGAGGTTATGTACACTGGGTTGTGCCACCAATATTACAACATAGGACAAGACAGCATGCATTTGTATAACCAAGGGTCACAGAGTACCGAGGTTATGTACACTGGGTTGTACCACCAATATTACAACATGGGACAAGACAGCATGCATTTGTATAACCAAGAGTCACAGAGTACCGAGGTTGTGTACACTGGGTTGTACCACCAATATTACAACATCGGACAAGACAGCATGCATTTTGTATAACCAAGAGTCACAGAGTACCGAGGTTATGTACACTGGGTTGTGCCACCAATATTACAACATAGGACAAGACAGCATGCATTTGTATAACCAAGGGTCACAGAGTACCGAGGTTATGTACACTGGGTTGTACCACCAATATTACAACATGGGACAAGACAGCATGCATTTGTATAACCAAGAGTCACAGAGTACCGAGGTTGTGTACACTGGGTTGTACCACCAATATTACAACATGGGACAAGACAGCATGCATTTTTATAACCAAAAGTCACAGAGTACCGAGGTTATGTACACTGGGTTGTGCCACCAATATTACAACATCGGACAAGACAGCATGCATTTGTATAACCAAGGGTCACAGAGTACCGAGGTTATGTACACTGGGTTGTACCACCAATATTACAACATGGGACAAGACAGCATGCATTTGTATAACCAAGAGTCACAGAGTACCGAGGTTATGTACACTGGGTTGTGCCACCAACATTACAACATGGGACAAGACAGCATGCATTAATTTTGTATAACCAAGGGTCACAGAGTACCGAGGTTATGTACATGTACACTCGATTGTGCCACCAAGTGAGCAACTCACCATTTCCACGCTGTTATCTTTAGGATAGAAGAGGAAGTTGTAGCGTCGCACTATGCCCGCTAGCGAATCATACCACTCCACGAGGAAAGCGTAGCGTTCACCTTCCATATTACCCGGTGAACTGCTGACTACTGGAACAAAGCGCCGGCAAGAATGTCCAATGGTCTGGTGGCGAGTGGAACTACTCACGATACACACAGCTAAGTTCCAAGCTGCCACACTCGAACCTGGCCTGAGCGCAAGGATTGCCACTCTAACCTGGCCTGAGCGCAAGGATTCCCACACTCGAACCTGGCCTGAGCGCAAGGACTGCCACACTCGAACCTGGCCTGAGCGCAAGGATTGCCACACTCTAACCTGGCCTGAGCGCAAGGATTGCCACACTCGAACCTGGCCTGAGCGCAAGGATTGCCACACTCGAACCTGGCCTGAGCGCAAGGATTGCCACACTGGAACCTGGCCTGAGCGCAAGGATTACCACACTGGAACCTGGCCTGAGCGATATGAACACCATGTACCGGTGAGTATCCTATAGGAACTCTGAATATTCCCGGAGCAAATGTCTCAATGATTAGGACACCGAGGCAACTATAATAGTCTTGTTCTCTTCACCGTCTTTCAAACATTCGATTATGACCATGGCACGGGCATGATTGCTGTAGTTCTGTCATCAAGCAGATTCAAAAATGTTTGGCCTCAACGCACGACTCCACGAGTAGACAGGTACATGTACAGAGCGCTGGCTAGTCTAGCCTACTACTAGTACTAGTACTAGTAGTAGTACCAGTACATACCTAGTCTATTATGATTGCCAGTAGGTCTACGGTGCACCGGTGGCGCATGGCGATGTGTCACCATGGTCACTGTCAAGCGGTCACACCATGCACTCACATCAACTACATGTACAACGTAGTTTACATTGGTCGCTTTCGATTACACGCATTTCGGCATTTCTAGAATTAGTTATTGTCGATTACACAAAAAGTGACAAATTCCGTCGTTAGAATTGATTTTATCCATTCCGTCGAATCCATCAATTCTCTGTTCTGAAGAGAAGGCGGAATTTCTGTAATTCTGGCGCCAGAACTGTCGGTGTGTTACCGGTTTTGTCATGACTCAAGCGCGCGAAGAGCCTCCCTGGCCGGCGTGTGCGTGATGCTAGGTCCACGTGCGCGCGATCGATCGCGAGGGTGTACGTGATCTCTTTTTGCGATTCATCAATTATTTCGTTTTTGACATGACATGAATAAAATGCGTTGTGAATTCCAGTCGTTCGTTTACAAGGCCGGAATACGCTCATTCTGGTCATTCCAGAATTTAAAAAAACTGTTAACAGTTGCAGAATTGTGTAAACGTGTAATGGAAAGCGCCCATTATGTACTTACTTGATCAGTTGGTCCCCATGGTAACACCAAAACATACATGATTGTACAAGCGAACACACAACACTACAAAACACACAACAAACACACACGCTACCAATGCAATGGTAACCATAGTAACTGTTCACAAGCAGCGGTGAGCGATTTCACTTGTAAGTATTACCGGTAATACTGGGTGTATATTACTGCAGTACTAGTAATACCGTATTATCTCTAATATAAGCACGGTCAGGAGTATAATCGATGCAGACATGGCCAGACAACAACGAGTTCATGGAATTTTGAAGGATTTTTATGTTATTCAAAATCGATTTTGAATAACATAAAAATCCTTCAAAATTCCATGAACTCGTTGTTGTCTGGCCATGTCTGCATCGATTATACTCCTAATTGCACTAATAAAATTGCTTTCTCCACGCCGACTCTATAAGCACGGTCCTTTATTTTTTCAATGTACCTCCGCCCCGTGCTATTAATGGAGACGTTCCGTTATTGGAGACTGTTCCATTATATTTCAACCTCATTTCAGAGGCATGTTGCCATGCCAAATTCATGTCAGACACACACATTTCAGGGTTTTTCGCCGGTACAGATAATGAATTTACACAGTGTGCTTATAATGGAGACTGAGCACAGCATTTTTTGAATGCTGCCCCAAGGTGTTCTATTATTGGAGACATGCTATTATTGGAGACTGTGCTTATCTTAGAGATAATACGCTAGTACTACACTAGCACAAAGAACAGTTGATGGAACTGGATCCACTGCCCGTCGTCAAGTGACGACGGGCAGGAATGGATTCCACTGCCCGCCGTCACGACAGGCCATTACTGGCATTACACTGGGCATAATTAGTAGACGCCGGACAGCGGACGTTAGGCACCGGCGGATTATATAATTATTGGCATAATTTGGTGGTTGAAAATTTGGAGCATAATTTGGCATCCTTTCGGAGGTAGGAGCATAACTACATGATTGTACCACAATTCTAGTATGTAAGCTACACAATTGTGTAGAATGCACCTGATCAGTGCTGGTGGTCTGAATGGTAAAAGGTTCGGAGTAGCCCTTTTCCAAAGATGCTCACCACTTTTTTCGCAACTTTCCGTTGTTTTGGAAGAAATCGCAACTTTCTTCATTTTCCAAAACAACTACTTCGCAACTTTTCCGCAAAGGTGTGCAAAGAAGCGCGCTGGAGGAGACCATCGACTGTGGAAGCTATGGAGTATGGTTATTGCTCTAATAATTAAACAAATGAGGTATAGTTGGACGAGTATGACGAATTGACGATTACGAAGACAGTTGAACATGATAATGTTCAAAGGGAGCTGTCTTCGTAATCGTCAATTCGTCATACTCGTCCAACCGATGTCACCCTCACCCTGGGAATAATCAGCTCATCTCTCCCATAGCCGTACCTCTCCTTCCACCATGACCGAACATCAACTATACCTCATTTGGTTAATTATTAGAGCAATAACCATACTCCATAACTTGCACAGTCGATGGTCTCCTCTCAGTTTTCTTTCTCTGGTATTCTTGAGAACCACTCTATCACCGCTGCTGTGTTCCTTCATGCATTAGTCTGCAGCTGGGGACGGAGCTAGCATTATCCCCCCAGGCCTACCTGGGGGGATAATGCTAGCATTATATCTAAGACAACTTTTCCGGTCCCTGCCATGCCGGCTCATTAATACCTCAAAGAGTGAAATCGGCATAGTCTCGAAGTCTATACTGGATACCGCTCTAAAACAGCTCCGTCCCCAGCTGCAGACTAATGCATGGAGGAACACGGCAGCGGTGATAGAGTGGTTCTCAAGAATACCAGAGAAAGAAAACTGCATATTCGTGTGCTTTGACATCGTAGATTTCTACCCCTCAATCTCCGAAGACCTCCTCCAGAGATCCGTTGAATTCGCCCGCCGCTACACGGACATCTCCCAGGAGGAGGGTGACACAATATTCCACGCCAGGCGATCACTGCTGTTTGGCTTGGACAGGCACTGGGTGAAGAGACACAACGAGCACTTTGACGTGACAACGGGGTGCCATGATGAGGCTGAGGTGTGTGAGCTTGTTGGAGCCTTCGCCCTCGCCATGATAGCGGACGTGTTCAACGGCAGAGACGCCGGGTTGTATCGCGACGACGGCCTGGCTGTGTTCAGGAATGCATCAGGACATGAAGCTGACCGAATAAGAAAGGAGATGACCAAAATATTCCAGAACCCCGGACTGAAGATAACGATACAGACAAACCTGAAGAGAGTCGACTTTCTGGACGTGACATTGGACCTGACCACCGGAAAGTACTGCCCTTACCGGAAACCGAACGACAAGCCGATGTACATCAACTGCCAGTCAAATCATCCACCTACAATCATCCAGAACCTATCTGCATCAATCAGCAGAAGACTAACAGACATTTCCAATGATGAAAACGTCTTCAGAGATGCGACTCCGATCTACAGTGACGCGCTGAGGAAGAGTGGATACCGGGAGAATGTACAGTATTTAAACGAGCGTAAAGCGGACGAGACAAAAAAGAAGAAGAAAAGGAATCGCCCCCGGAATATCATTTGGTTCAACCCACCATTTAGCAAGAACGTCGCCACCGACGTCGGACATCGCTTCCTCCAGCTAGTGGCCAAACACTTCCCCAATGGCTCAAGCCTCAACAAAATCTTCAACCGGAACTCTGTAAAGGTTTGCTACAGTTGCATGCAGAATATGGCCACTATCATCAAACAACACAATAACACGATTCTACGAACCAAGAAACAAGTCAACGGAGGTGACAACGATACCAGGACTTGTAACTGTCGGGCGAAAGACTCATGTCCACTGGACGGAGCGTGTCTAACGGAGAGCATCGTGTATAAGGCAAGAGTCACCACAGGTATGGAGAAGAAGGAGTATACTGGATTAACAGCAACAACATTCAAACAACGCTATTATAACCACCAATCCTCATTCCGCCACAGACAACACGAGAAGGACACCCGCCTATCACAGTACGTCTGGACCAAAAAGGATGAAGGAAAGGCATGCAGCATTCAATGAGCGGAACACCGCAGAGCAGCGGCCTACAGCAACAAAAGCAAAAGGTGCAACCTGTGCCTGGCAGAAAAATTGGCAATCGCGCAAGCACCCAAGCACCTCTCTCTCAACAAAAGGAGTGAGCTTGTGTCGAAGTGTCGCCATGAGAATAGGTACTACCTTCGGAACTTTAAACCATCTACAGCCATCACCTAATTAAGTAAGAGACAACCGGCTCCAGTGGTTGTCACCTTTCACCACTCTGTCATTCACACTTTTACTTTTGGATTTGCCTCACGATGCAGTCATTCACGCTTTACACTGCCGCCATTCACAACTTTTAGATTTGCGCCATGCTGCAGCTATTTACACTTTGCTTTGTGAGTATATAAACCAACACTGATCCAGATTTCTCATTACTGTTTCTGATGATCGCTTAGTGCGTGAAACTCGGAGTAAAAACACTTTCTCTGTCCTCCTATTGTTTGAACCAGCTCTACCACTCGGTATTGAGCACTCTCTTGATCAGCCTGGAACCTCTCTGTTTTATAAGTAGCATTATAGTGTGCGATTTGCAACGAGCATTATGCTAGCATTATAACGCTACATTTCCACAAAAGTGGCATTATACTCAAATATGGAAGTTTTGGCCGCTACAAAAATGGACCGTTACATGCCTTGTACATAGAACTGCACAACCTGCATAGGATTGTCCAAACTAAGCCATTTCCAATTTTCCATACATACTATTGCGGTTTTGCTGGCGTTATGGAGCAATAGCAGCATAAAATTAGCTTTATGATCATGATTTTCTAGCATTTTCCATGCCGTCTACGTAGAATTACGAAACGTGCACAATACTGCCCAAACAAGCCATTTTTCCATGCTTACTACTTGTGAATTGCTGGCATTACATAGGAACAGCAGCAATATATTATGTAGCATTATGATACAGTTTTTCTGGCATTGCCATTAGCATTATCCCGCAAAATAACTAGCATTATCCGCCCAGGCCTAGAAGGTGCACTCACTAAAATAATCTCTATGAGGCTCTGTCTCCAGATTGCAGCGGTGATCAAGCAGGTGCTGCATGATTGTAGTGATCACGTGATGACAGACTGCATGTAGATATTCTACGTATGCAGTGTAGGAACTAGACACAGACATGTACATGATGCAGCAGCAGGGCTCGATAGGGGAAGTCCCTGGGACCCTGTGTCTGTGAGCTGACATGTCAGTTGCATTGACAAGTGACAGTAGTACTACTAGAGTCAAACGTACAGCTGCGAGTTGGACTGACAAGTAGAGCTATAATTATATAAATGAAGGTAGGGTGAGGATTGTGATTTGTGAAACTCGTTCACCTGACCTTTTCTTACATTCTTTATGACCATATATTCCTAGACTTTCATCTATACTAAGTTATAGAATAAGGCACCATTTTTGCCACTATGATCGATAGAGGGTATCGAGTCGCCTTTCTCAAAGATGCCATAATTTGTCGCACCTTGTGCTTTTCGCAACCGTGCCAAACATGTGCTAGTTGCTGATGTCGCATCATATTCTCAGAAAAAGTTCAAAAGTGGCTAATATCGCAACTTAAATTTGGAGAGTTATTGTGAAAGAAACACACAAAAAGGAGCAGAAGGAATACATGTAGCAGAAGTGCAGTGACAGCAAACTCGTACATCCCTTACTGCTGTGAAGCACAACACAACACAATGCCAGTAGCCTGTTCTATGTATTCTACTTCAGAAGTATATCGTTCCAGTGCACGGAAAACAGAATGCACATTATCGTAACTAATGTTGATCTACTGTTTCTCTAAAATGAGTCTGAAGGCAGGAGAGAAATGAGCGAGTATGCATAGGTATACCTACATTGCACACAGCAGAATGGGGATATTTAGAAATGCATCATAGCCACGGGTAACTCTAATTAGAGGACACTGCTGGGAACAGAACTAATAAACAGCTGACAGGCCTTGATAAATAAACATGACGAAGATAAAAAGGAAATGAGATGTGATATTGTGAATGTTTTAAAAGTAATGCTAGCAACGGGACAACGGGACAACGGGACAACGGGACAATCTCAGCATCAAATGGTGTATCACATGCTACTCGTACAACACGTCTAAAAAGTGAAAATAGCTGATCTTTGTCATGGGCAGATATACAAGAAAGAAAAACAGTAACAGAGTAGTTCAAGTCAGGTAAGATAACACTTAACAAGTAGGCTCGCTTTGTATGTAGCGAATGTTGCGGAAAACTTGCGAAATAGTTCGCGAAAAAGAAGAAAAGAAGAAAGACAAAATGTTACGAGTTATGACAAACTGTCCACCAGATCTTCTACAGTCAGCGAGTGCGACAAAATGGCACAAAACCGACAAGAAGTACTGAGACATTCGGCGACCTGACACCTAGCTCCAACACTTCTCCAAGGCGCAAACCAACAACCTTCCAACTTGGAAGGATCAGGTTCGGAAAGGTCCAAGAGGGGAAGGAGAGCGCAAGGAAGAAGAGCACGAGCTAGGCATCACTTTGTCTCACTCGCTGACTGTATAAGATCTGGTTACGTTGGTGGACAGTTAGTCATAACTCGTAACGTTTTGTCCTTCTTCTTTTCAAAATAATGTAATTAATTGGCTCACCATCCGAAAAAGAAGAAAGTTGCCAAAGTTGCGATTTCTTCCGAAACATCGAAAAGTTGCGAAAAATGTTTCGAGCATCTTCGCGAAATGGCTAGTAAGGAGCGAAAGGGTCATTGTCTCCTCCACTAAGCTATAAGTGGCCCTAGGTACTCACACGATCAACATGTACTTCATATGCATAGTGCTATTAGTATAATAATTAGTAAGAAAGGGTTTGCTCCCCACACCGGAGCTCGCGCTATTCCGCCGATATTACTTGACACTTGACTGACTCACGACTGCCATCCAGAGTACACGAGAAGTCCATCGAACCTTCGACTCGGCAAACCTGCAAGAAAGCACCACTCCCTGCTCAATACACAGTGTTTCGGGGAATTCACCCCTCATCAGTTGAGCTTGAGTAGGCTGAGGAAGATTGTGCCTGAAGAGCACCACTTATATAGTGCTCTCCAGGTACAAACATCACCAGGGATACAAACTTACAGAGACGCTCCGCTTCCAGCGCGATAAACACCTCGTGAACACCAGATAGCAGCGTGAGTCAGTGTCGCTCCTGGACGGTGAGACCAGACGTTGAGGACCCTCGGTCATTCGCAACGCTGTCACCTCCAAACCAACTAGTCGCAAGCCCGCGCTGGGCACAACAGTACAAAGTAGTGGTTGCGACTTCGGCGATGATGATTTGTAAGAAAGGGTTTGCTCCCCACACCTCCCCACAGTATAATAATTAGTTAAAACATATTGAGCACTCTCTTGGACAACCTGGAACCTCTCTGTTTTAATATTTACTTAGTGTGACTGTAGATGTAGCAGTGTCAAAATGGTGAACAATCTAACACTACTATAGTCTATAGTCTATAGTGTATTTTATATTGTACAGGTATAGACCTGTAGACTTTTTCAAATATTTAAAATTTTGCTTTCAGCGTTTTGACATCTACATTTGTATCTTGGGGATACTGGTCAGGCAGTACCTCCAATTTTCCTCCCATAAATCTAGGTGATTGGACAACAAACGCCCATTTTTACACACAAAGTAATCAAATATTTAATGTAGTATAGATGTTGGTTGACACCAGGGGTCTACATGACATTATCTACCATTGAACGCATTAGACATGTAGTAAGAATTTCCAGTCTGACAACCATCACTGAATGAGTGGTAAAATAACAACTTTTAGCCATGGTAAAAGTAATAGTACAGTGCTGTTCAATGAAAGCCAGTCTACAGTCGGGTCACTGAAGACAAGTTTGCGACTCGCATCATTTCACAGACCAGTGTACAGTGGTGTTGGCAGGTGTAGGGCTGCGCAACGCTTGACACGTACTTGAGGGATGCGACTGGAGTTCATAGGGCTTGAAAGTGCTACGTCACAGCATAGCAACAATTTCAAAAATTCAAAAATTGGATCCACTTGGATCCAGTTTTTGTATGGATCCAAGCACATTTCAAGCCGTCTTACTCTCAGCAAGGTGAAGTTACCAGTGAAACTGACTGATTTGGCTACTGGGGGCGGGGTTACAACTGGTGGCGAAGTAAAAGTCGCCCCTGCATACGACATGAGTGGGATGCTATGCACCTACATACTGAGGCAATAGCAAAGTCACACCTTAGTGGATCCAAAATAGAAATCTGATGTCAACTTAGTACTCCCTGGCCGTTTTTGACGTCATCACTTTCAAGCCCTATTGAGCAGGATCTAGGACTGAACAATGACAGACATACTCTACAATCACAGCACACCCGACCAAACCTGACACCCGACCTGGACTTTGCAGGTCTTGAGCGGAGCAGGGAGTTGTATAAACACGACTCCGTGGTCTGGAGTCGACAGTCTGGACAGGGCAAGACAGGAGGAGCATGCATGCAAGTGCAGAATCTCGCTACTTGTATGTAATCTGTGTGATAGATCCACTGGCACTGTGTGGTAAATGGTAGATGATTCACACATTCACGACCCTGGTCTGTGTAACTTTTCACACACTGCTGCTGTTGATGTGTTGGTGTGTGTGTTTCCGAGCGAGTGAAACAAGTTCAGAAAAGAAATATTACCTACTCGATAGTTTCTCACAAGCATATTTGCTTGCGTTGCAACGATATTCGTGCTAGCGCACTCCCTCCGATCCGAGTCTGCTAAGTGTCGGAGCAATGGCGGTCAAACCCCCAGGCTCAATGCCCTGGCGCAAATCACGTTTTCAACGAAAAGGATATCCTCCGGAGATTTTCCAGGACGCGAAATTTCGCGAGAAGAAGTACCTTTGCTCACATTGTCACCAGGTGCTTGACCAGCCGCGTAGTGGTCCGTGTGGTCACCGCTACTGTCGACTTTGCCTTGAAGACCGCATAGATCGGTAAGTTGTGACTGCTAGCGTTTCTCCTATTTCGAGTGTTTCCAGGCTTGAACCTCTCCCATTGTCGCAAGGCTATCGTGTGATTATCCGCTCCTGCATGTATTGTGTTGTGTAATAGTCTATACTATATGTAATGTGATTCCTGTGTGAGCAGAGCTAAGTCTACTGTACTATTTGTATCGTGATGTGGATCAGGTTGGCGATTATCGTTTTCCGCGATTACGTTCATTCAAACTACAATGAAAGTTGAAGTTTCCATTTTAGTGCAGCTAACAAGGAAATGGAAACTCATTCGCACAGCCGCATGTATGCGCTGTAGCGCGCTGGTCGAATCGGATCAACATGTGCACTGCACGCCACACGTGCTGAGGGCGCCGGTCAATCTATGTCCGCTACTATAGTAGACAGCATGGTGTAGATACCATAGTGTTAACTACAGTCTAGTGATGCTCTGTACCACCAGTGACTGGGTGGTGCACACACAGCAGCATACAAAGGAAATCGCTGGTGCTTTGTTGCGAAGAATAATCTCTATTTCTGGCTTTGTAAACTGCAAACTTATGCCTGGTCCACACTCGTCGGATTTTTCGGCCGATATCGGGTTGTACGACTAGTTTGCTGGATCAGCAAAATAAAATACAAAATTGCAAGACGTGGACGGTTCGGTCACACGCGTTTCCGATAAATTTGTGTGTGCATAGGCAGTCCAACCCAGTCAGCCGATTATATTGCAGGGTCGGTGTCAGAACGCTGGCCAAAAAACAGTCCGATTGCGGGTCAGGCATAACTCAGTGTGTTTTGCGTACTCAAACTTCTGGTTGTGTAAACTTAGCGGTACTTTGCAAACTACCAATAATATATTCTTGTTTGTTTGTGTGTGTGTGTGTGTATGTGTGGGTGGGGTTGTGTGTAGGGTATACATGTCTATATCAGACTTATAATTATCAGTGAGTAAATGGTTTGGGTGAATGGTGTAGTGTGTAAACTTGATCCAGACACACACACACACACACACAACCATAAATGAATACAAAGAGGTACTTAAATCCACACACCCAAAGAACTAGTGTATGATGAAATTTCAAATTCTAATTTTGTTGTTTCAGGATGAGACCCACTGCTGAATGCTACTGGAAGGATTGCCAGGCAGTTCTGAAACCAGCCGAGGTATGTTTATACAGGTCATGTGCTGTTCTGGGCTTAACCCTTTACCGGCAGCCCCATACTTGAATGTGTCGTAAATGACGCATTCGACATGCATACTAAAACCAGGCCTGGTATGACAAGAAAAATCAGCCCACGGGGATTTCCCGTGGCCCTTACACAGCCTAGGTATGATCCCATCCGTAGCTGAAGAGATCTACACGTGTCCCATTTGATTTCATTGAGAACTGCGCGATCGAAAACTTACGGAAATACACGCGCGCCGACAATGCCATCTGCCTCCGTCAAAACGTCGTCAGATGCATTTCCTCTTGCGCAGTGAGTTCCTTGGGTCCTCAGATGACTTCTCTGACGAGGACCTAGCAGACCTTCGCTCTGGGACCGACGACAGATAGATAAATACTTCGTTCCAGCCGCCGATGCGAGCGAATTTCAAATTGCGGAGCGGAGCGCACGCCAAGTAAATTCTCGCGCAAATATCGGGAGCTCCAGCCGCTGAAGACGATGTCATCGTGATGTACCTGGAAGAATCTGATGGTGCTTATGGTGGGAAAGCCATCAAGAGTGATCCCCGTGTCGACATTCCCCCAGAGACGAAATTTTAGGCCATCGACTTTCTCCGTACCTGAGTGACGGCAGCGAGAAATAAATAATAGTACCAGACTTCCAAGAAAACATAACTTGCACATACAAAATGTGCCTTCGTTGTGAGTTATTGGCATCCTTCTCAATGTCATGGATTTCATATACAAAATGCACTTGCCGGTAAAGGGATAAGCTGTGTTCACAACTGCATGGCGGGTGGACGCGGTACGCTTGCGGTTCATCCGTGCCCAAATGCGCACTCAGGCTTTCACAATAAGCAGCAATCCGAGTCTTATTGAACGAATGCGACACCTTCGAGTACTATTGTTTCGACCCCACCAGTCAAAGTGGCTGGCATGCATGCCGGTACGCGCCTGATACGCGCTGAAAAATCCAATTTTGAAATTTCCCTTTCAGCGCGTTTTCACACGCATGACGCCCCAAAAAGCAGCAAATACGCACAAACACATGGTTTCACACGTACACGCGCCAGTTGTGAACACTGCTTACGTCACCAATAGGTCTAGATCTTACAGTAACGGGTCTATCTGCCCGGTCTGGAGATCTAGATCTTATCGTAATGTTTTTGTCTGGTCTGGAGGTCTAGATCTTGTAGTAATGTATCTGTCTGGTCTGGAGGTCTAGATCTTGCAGTAATGTTTTTGTCTGGTCTGGAGGTCTAGATCTTATCGTAATGTTTTTGTCTGGTCTGAAGGTCTAGATCTTGTAGTAATGTATCTGTCTGGTCTGGAGGTCTACATCTTGTAGTAATGTATCTGTCTGGTCTGGAGGTCTAGATCTTGTAGTAATGTATATGTCTGGTATGGAGGTTCAGATCTTGCAGTAATGTATCAAGTCATTCATACAGCTACTGCAGAATGCAACATACCAATAATTGATATGCAGCCCTGCGCTAGCTTTCCTGCGATTCTCTTACTTTTCAGTTCCCCTTTCATTTTTTTCTCCCTCCCCTCTATTACCACCATGTTTGGCTATCACCGCATCTCCCTTTCCTTTTTTCTCCCTCCCCTCTATTACCACCATGTCTGGCTATCACCGCATCTCCCTTTCATTGGCTAGTGCCCCTTGATTGTGAGTAAACAAATAATTAAAATATTTAAATAATAATCTGTCTGTCCAGCAGGTCTACAGTTGTGGCAAAACAAATCCGCCTAGTACTATACAAGCTAGGATTAGCTAAGCACAGTACATGTGCTGCATGCACTACCACTCCTACACTCCATTCATTGGAAACTGGCACCCTAACTTTTTGGTGTCTCTCTCACATAGTTGTAGATATCGTGAAAACAACAGTACATCCTGCATTGTGTGACTCGTGCAACTACTCATTGCCACATTTGAGGCCAGAAAAGTTCAAGAGCAGGGAAAGAGAAATTCAGCCAGGTCTTACAAAATTAGGACAGATATGCCATGGCAAAATGTATGGAGACGCAGATCATAAACCCAGATTTGTGAGATTTAGAGTGGGTTTTTGATCCTCAGTTCGCCCCAAATCCGACTTTCAAAAGCCAGCGGGACAGTTTCCGATGAATGGACAGTAGTGTATCCCAGAAAGTCAGTCATTGTAGTGCAGAGCACATGCCCTGATGTCAGGTCTGTATGTACACTCAGTACAGTGATAGACTTAACTGCAGTAGATCAGAGTGCAGTGTAGACTGGTCAGTGTAGTGTAGACTGGTCAGTGTAGTGTAGACTGGTCAGTGTAGTGTAGACTAGTCAGTGTAGTGTAGACTGGTCAGTGTAGTGTAGACTGGTCAGTGTAGTGTAGACTGGTCAGTGTAGTGTAGACTGGTCAGTGTAGTGTAGACTGGTCAGTGTAGTGTAGACTGGTCAGTGTAGTGTAGACTAGTCAGTGTAGTGTAGACTGGTCAGTGTAGTGTAGACTGTTCAGTGTAGTGTAGACTGGTCAGTGTAGTGTAGACTGGTCAGTGTAGTGTAGACTGGTCAGTGTAGTGTAGACTGTTCAGTGCTGTGTTGACTGGTCAGTGCTGTGTTGACTGGTCAGTGCTGTGTAGACTGGTCAGTGCAGTGTAGACTGGTCAGTGTAGTGTAGACTGGTCAGTGCTGTGTAGACTGGTCAGTGTAGTGCAGACTAGTCAGTGTAGTGTAGACTGGTCAGTGCTGTGTAGACTAGTCAGTGTAGTGTAGACTGGTCAGTGTAGTGTAGACTGGTCAGTGTAGTGTAGACTGGTCAGTGTAGTGTAGACTGGTCAGTGTAGTGTAGACTGGTCAGTGTAGTGTAGACTGGTCAGTGCTGTGTAGACTGGTCAGTGTAGTGTAGACTGGTCAGTGTAGTGTAGACTAGTCAGTGTAGTGTAGACTGGTCAGTGTAGTGTAGACTGGTCAGTGTAGTGTAGACTGGTCAGTGTAGTGTAGACTGGTCAGTGTAGTGTAGACTAGTCAGTGTAGTGTAGACTGGTCAGTGTAGTGTAGACTAGTCAGTGTAGTGTAGACTGGTCAGTGTAGTGCAGACTAGTCAGTGTAGTGTAGACTGTTCAGTGCTGTGTAGACTGGTCAGTGCTCTGTTGACTGGTCAGTGTAGTGCAGACTAGTCAGTGTAGTGTAGACTAGTCAGTGCTGTGTAGACTGGTCAGTGTAGTGCAGACTAGTCAGTGTAGTGTAGACTGGTCAGTGCTGTGTAGACTAGTCAGTGTAGTGTAGACTGGTCAGTGTAGTGTAGACTGGTCAGTGTAGTGTAGACTGGTCAGTGTAGTGTAGACTGGTCAGTGTAGTGTAGACTGGTCAGTGTAGTGTAGACTGGTCAGTGCTGTGTAGACTGGTCAGTGTAGTGTAGACTGGTCAGTGTAGTGTAGACTAGTCAGTGTAGTGTAGACTGGTCAGTGTAGTGTAGACTGGTCAGTGTAGTGTAGACTGGTCAGTGTAGTGTAGACTGGTCAGTGTAGTGTAGACTAGTCAGTGTAGTGTAGACTGGTCAGTGTAGTGTAGACTAGTCAGTGTGTCGCGTCCCCGGCTCAGAGTGACCGGACCCCGAAATCACTACGAGCGGCGACTGAATATAGACGTGTGGCCTCACGACAAGCCCAACACAACCCAGGGGCCAACCAATATAGCTGGCTTGGTCCAAGTTCAACCCCACACGATCAAGAGACAAAGACTGTTAGTTTTACGTTGTGAGTAGTATCAAATCCGAGCTCAAAGTAAACGAAGACAAAGAGCTGAGACCGAGTCTCGACTGCTAGACTAGACCAGAGTAGACTAGACTAGACTAAAAACTGAAGTAAAAGATAGAATGAGAGCTTCTTTTATAGGGTGCTTCAGAGATATATGGCGTGATCATTGCGAGGTCATTCCAGGAAATAGCAGAACAAGTCAAACCGGAATGTGCGCAGCCAGTCAGCAGAAATGCAGAATACGTACGGTGATCATTCGAGAAGAAAGAGAAAGAAAGACATCGAGAGAAGAAAGACCAAATTGGGACGTGGGGAGCCCGCTCACCCACGTCAGAGTACAATGTGAGTATATGAGGGTCACGTTGGGGAGCCCGCTCCCCCAACGTGCCATAGTTCAGCGGCTTCTTATGGTAAGTTCTGCTGCATTCTTGGTCTTGCTTGTTTGATACTCTGACCTCTCGTGCGGTCACCATGGTCACTGCGGTGACGGTTTTGGTTCTTGCACACGTCTCCTGTCTTGCACTTAGCTCTTGTTATACAATGTCATATTAGTCTTGGCTCTTTGCACGAAGCGCCGAGGCATCGTGGAAACCTGTAGAACGTCGTAGTGACGTGGATTTGCACAAAGCCTGGAGTCACATTTCCAGGAAGTGAAGCGCTTCCAGGAAACGTACAACGCGAGAACCTACCTGACCAGGTTCCGGCCTTGGATCACATGGTGTGTCATGCCAAGAAGGCATGTCACCTACGTGGGAAAGCGCGTGTCGCTCAACCTACATGCTAAGCACGTGGGACAAGACACTGGCCAAACCACATTGTACCAAAAGGGTGTGACAGCTCAGCACAGAGCTGCTCACTATGTAGATCCTGCTATCACAGGACTATCAGGCAGCAGTTGTCTTATTCTGGGACGTGACATTTCCCCCGCCGTTGAAGAATCACGTCCCCGTGACTATCCTCGACCGATATGGTAGTCGGTGAGATACCGCGACGTTGCCAGTGTCATCCACCAGGCTCCGCGACGGATACAATAGGTAAGTCAACTGGAGATGCAGGATGCAAGTCCAATCCACCACAGGTTTTGGTGCGAACACCATGTCATCAGCCGAATACAGCATATCACCCGTATCGGGCTCATACGACTGAACAATATCACTGACTGCTCACGAGAAAATACAATTCCTCGCCAGGTGCCAGGCACATAAAGCATTCACTCAATCCGATGGTGCTACACAGTTGTGAAACCAGATCGGTAAGAGCTCGTAG